TTGAGTACATTTCCCACAGGGAGACTTTGACCTTGAAACGGATCATTTTTAAGGGTGTTATCTGAAGAAAAGCCTGAAATACTAAAGCGAGACTTCATCATTTCTTTGCAGCTTCTTTTTCTGACGTTTGTCAGGGCATGTGAGCAGTGTGGTTTTCTTTCCTAGATTGCTTGTGGTGTGCAGAAACAATCTTGCAGGAACAACCCCATATTAAATAGAAAAGAAGCAGCATTAGTGTTTCCTGGAAATATATTGCTTATGTTGTTAAAGAATAGAACTGGAGATGTAGCTGTGAGTTAAAGTTTTCAAGATAAATAAAACCAAATCTCTTAAAAATAGAGGTCCTTTCAATAGTGAGCATTGCAACTGAATTCTCTCTACTTTTACAGCTGCTTCTAATGGCTTTGCTGGATTTTTTTATGCAGTCAGGCCTTATCTCTTCCCCTGGGGTCTCTAAATAAAGCTATCTACAGAGACAGCATGCCACTTATTCCTCCAGTTGCTGTACCGGAGTTGGTGAACATATATGCGTATTCTGGTCTCTTTGCCGTATAACAGGATGCTTTTGAAGGCAAGGAAGCTCAGCAAATTTAAGTGTTTTACATTTTGAGGACAAGCTGTCTCTGTCGGCACTGTTTTATTTACAGCTCTGTTTCACTGGGTGACTATATGCAAAACCTAGCACCAAGAGTGATATATATATATAAAGAGGTCATGTTTATGGAGTCAGAAGATAGGTAAGCTCTGTGGTTTATATATTTCGGCAGGTCTGAAACAGTGGTGAAGTTGCAAACAGGAAAGACACAAAAAGAGTAAATTTTAATAAGTTCATATACATCCTGAGTGTTGGCAATCCAGTTCTGCTGCTCAGCTGTCAATGTTGCTGTCACAGGTATTACTTGAACTTTTTCCTCTTTTCCATATTTTAATCTTACTGTTTAGATAGGTTTGAGCTTTATTCTTACGGAAGGAAAAAGTTTAAGTGCTGAATTGTAAGCAAGATTTTAATACTGAGGCCAGACCATACAACAAGTTATCCACCCATCTGTAATGGCTAGACACAGCAGACTGCGATGCCATACTCCAGGTGTGCACCTGGGGTTATTGTGTGACTCTGTGTAAGAAATGTATATGGATATACTGTCTCTCTAACACATATACATAAAAGATGTGGTATTTCTGTGCTTGCACTTCTCCCAGTCAGCCCAATACACCTAATCAGTTCTACCTGTAAAAGCTGTGAAGGCAGTGTGTGGTGGGGTCACCGTGCTTTGTCGTGACCCTTGCACTATGGCTGAGGCCATGCAGAGGGCAGAGTCACAGGTGAGGCTGTTCTCCCCCCAACCTGCAGGCACTGCTCTGCACCAGTGTGGTAAACACGCACCAGTGCCCGCTGGAGGCACGCTGGGCCATGCACGAGCAGCTCTTTCTCCCTCTTCTCAATCCCGCCCTGAAATTTGTAATTGCATCACACGCAGGATGGGAAGCTTGCCCTCCAGTAATGAGTGGGAGGTTTCCCAGTTGATTCCCGCACCGCGGCAGGGCAGCGTTGGCTCCCTGAGCAGTGGTCCCTGACCCCCAGCGCAGATGAGCAGATGCGTCTTCCGGACCATCACGGCCCGCTCTGCCCCTGCCTGGGTTGTGTCGGCACTCCTCATCACAAGCACAGGGCTGCAGGCTTCCTTCTCTTCCCCTCCGTGCCAGGTGAATGCCACGGTGCTGCCAGGGCAGACAGAGGCTAAAAGGCAGCAGAAGGCACGATGCTGTCCGCAGCGCGCTCTCAGCCCGGTGCCGTTGCCCACTGAGCAGTGAAGTGCAGGGAGGGCACTAGACGCTGCACAATTTCACTCCTGCTTCTCAGATACCCATTCCAGGCAAGGAGCAATCCTGGAAAATATTACAGGACTTTGTTGGTCATCCTTGTGGTGTTCTTCCCATTGCACAGAGCAGCGCACAGCCCCACTCGTGTGGCGTGGGCACGCTGCTGCCCGGAGCCGGCTGCAAGGCGAGGGGTGGCCAGAGCCATGGGCCTCCCAGCATTGGATGCCGTACGTGCAGCACGAGCGTTTCCATCAAAGCGTGTTTCCAAGTTGGCTTGCCTGCCGGGAGGCTGTTGGTGTTGTGACGCCGAGTGGCTGCAACATGGAAGAATATGTATGAATGAATTTCAGATGAGGTGCTGCTGAAGCCGATGGCTCAGCATGTAGAGTCTTTGGCCGGGAAGAGTGGGTAAAACAGTATTCTTGAGCAAGGAAGTCTCAGATCAGGACAAAAGAAGTGTTGTGGCCAGTTAGGACAAAATAATATGTTTCTGAGAAATGTCAACCTCTTTCATGGTTAACGCTGAATCGGCAGGCTGCTCTGGGGCTTACATGTGTGAGCTTTTGCAATCACATTGTCACAGCGACAAAAATAATCAACAGGGTCGTTAGGGAGCTGTCAGCCTGGGGAATGGTGTTAGGAAAGATGAGGGGCCGTGTTCGGCTCCTGCCTGTATTGCTGCTAGGCAAGGAGTTTCACCTCTTCGTAAAGACATTTGTAAGACAGAAGTCACATTTACCCAGGAGAATATGTTGCAATTGATATTATATGGATAGTTGCCATGTTATTTTGCTTAGAGATGCCTACCAAATGGGAGAAAATATTTTTTAAAGTCTCCTGGTAACATTGCTGTCAACCACTGCTACACAGAGAGCTGGCTTTAACATAGCTAACACACTTGGAACAGATACTGGCAGTGACCCCTTTAATTTATAAAATGTTCTCGAAGATCCTATAAATAGCCACGTGCCTAATTTTAAGCATAAGTAGTCTCCTGTGCTCAGTCTTAAACTTGTGTGTAGCCGTTATCAGAACTGGGGTGAGAAAGGTTAATTTGTGCTTTGCAGACACAGTTCCCGGTCTCAGATGCAGTTCAGCCTTTCGGAAAGCTCAGCCTTTGAGGTGGCCGCCTCTTCGGGCTGTGCTGACTCTTACCGGCAGTGTGTGGCCCAGCAGCCCTTCCCAGCCCTGCGCTCCAAGCCAGGCGGGTCGGGGAGAGGCTATTATTAAGCCTTGCTTCCTCGAAATGCTTTCGATAGCGAGATCTGATTATGATGTGATCTCCTTAACCAGAGATGAGCTTCAGCTAGGGCTCCTGCTCTCTGTGCCGCAGCCAGGACTTGGCTTTGGAAAGTTGTTGGCGTCTTGCAAGACCAGGAATGTTTTGGGGACTCAAACACCAGAGGTATGAAATCTGTGTGATGTGTTTACCTGTTCGGGTCTTGCTTGGAAAAGTAGATTTGGGAGTAGCGTGATACCAAGACAGTATTTGGTGTCTTAGTCTCATAATGGGATTGTTTTGTTTATCACAAAAACTATGTTGCAGCTTTGGACATTATGTCCCACGGTCGTTTTGCTTCCCCAAGGAGAGGGTCACTGACTTCTGCATCTGTAGACATGACATAAATGCTCTGTGAAACAAAGCGGCTTTGCTGCTCTCCCTCCCTCCCCTTGCAAACTTGTACTTTGGCTACAGCTGTGGCAGCTGGGGTCTGATTACCAGGGGTGTTGTAGGGGGTATGGGGCAGGTTAGAGGGGGCTTACCCTTTCCAAGAGGTGGGCTGAGCATTTCAGCGCTTTGAAATTGGGCAAAGGAATATCTGGGCTGGGCTGAACCAGAGGCGCAGAGAAACAGGGGCTGATCCCAGCGCTGGGACTTGGTGGGGTTGGGAAAGTATTGGGTTAAATCCGAATACATTTGATCCTAACACGGGTTGCTAAGAGTTGACGGATAGTAAGGATGGTTGCTGGATGCCTCATCCTCTTTAAAGCTGTGAAGACAGGCTCCGACAAGGCCTTTTCCCCATCCCAAGTATTCAGGGGTGCAAGACATACCTGACAGCTCTGCCCCTTAAGGATTTAAGAGACACTGTGCACCTGAAGGTTGGTTTATTTGCCATGGGCAGGGATGATGGTAGGTGCAGCTGCATCTCCCCCTCATGGAAAAAATCGCAAAAATGGGATTTGTGGTAAGTCTGCAGCCACTGTCTGTGCATGGGGACGGTGCCCAGAAATTCTCAGGTGAGAGATGCTCCCCCTGACTGGCTGCTTAAAGGATGTTGGAAAGTTATTTCCATCCCCTTGATAAAGTCATGTGGCTCTGCAGCATGAGACCTGGATATGGCTTGGGACATTTGCCATTTGAGTGACAGACTGAAAAAAATCCTAACTTTAGGGTGGTGGGTTTTTTTCCAGATAGTAAGACTTTCTTGGTACATTTACATACTACTGGCCCTAGCAAAACGAGAGCAGTTTTCCTTGTATATGCCAGAGCCTGGGAAATAAAAGCTGTGATCCACACAAAGTCAGTAACCAGATAGACGGCTTAGCACCTGAGAAGCACTCGAGAGCCACACGTGATTATTGGATTATTTTAAGGCTATTAGAACTGCCTTACTGTGCTTCTGTGCCACATGAAAACCTGCATACGTGTGTAAATATACATGCATATACCGAGTTAGCCTATGCACATTTATACATATATGCACGTATGTGCACATAATCTGAGAAACAAAATAGAAGCAGCAGCTTTCCTTCCAGCAGGTAGTATTTTCGTATGGTTTAAAGCAAGAGAAATCTCCAGTTAGAGCTGTGTGCTCCTAATCACTGCTCTCCTGAAGGAGCCACGTGAGCAGCCTCATTCATCTGTTGATGGCTGTGAGAAAGCAAACAGGTTGTCACAACAAATGTTCCTGGCCGAGTCCTAAAATGGCTTCTGTGGCGTGAGGGTTTTGTGTCCAAATGTTTTTTCTGCTCTTGTTGAAGTGCCAGTTCTGAAGAAATGTTGAAAATCTGGAACAAATCCAGGGCTTGTCCTCGGGGATCTTTGAAAATTCATGCAACTTCTGAAATTCTCACAGGACGGACAAAGGAAGGATGCTTGTGATTCATTGTTATTTTGAAAACAGTCTTTGAGTTATAATTTCCATCGTGTTTCACTCTTCCCTTTTCCTTTCCAGGCAGTGAAGCCGATTTTAGCTCTTCAAGCAGCACAGGCAGTATTTCAGCGCCTGAAGTCCATATGTCTGCTGCTGGAAGCAAAAGATCTTCTTTTTCCCGCAAGTAAGCAAAGCAATTTTTCCTGAATATTGCAAGTGCCGCTAGTGCAAAGATAGACTGCTGTGTAAGGTCTTGCAGTTAATAAATACAATACCAGTATTGTGAGTTTTAAAACAATTTGGGTAATGCTGTGCTTTCGGGCAGCACTTAAACTGATGAGAACTGTGATATAAGGAAGAAAAAAGAATGCTGTATTTGGAGCACAAAAATCGTCAATATGCCAGATCAGCTGACTGGTATTTTTTTGTTGTTTATTCATAACAAGTATGGGAGATACAATCAGGTAAGGCAGAAAAGGCATCGGCTGCAGTGGAGGAGGAAACAACTGGGTGTATGTTAGTTAACAGCAGTACTTCTAAACAATTAACCTTAAGCTTTTGGTCTTATCACTTCATTTTCTCTCTGTAATAAATTGTCAGCGTGACATTTACAGATCATGACCTTGTTTTTTGTAGGAAGAAGTAGACAATATTGCCTTTGTCGCTTTTTTCTTAAACACCCTTGCCCAACCTTTATATAACTAAAACTCTATGCAAATAAAAAAAAGCAGTTATCATAGTCATCTACCTAAGTGAACCTTTCATGAGAGATTTCTGTAAGGTTTCTCCCTATTGTGCATGAAGGGCAAATCCAGACAGCTTGCGAATACAGGGGCGTTGGGACGGAGCAGCGTGCGTTGCGCTCTGCCCACGCAATCCCTGCTGGTTACATTTTTTGGAGTAGGTGGAAGGAGTTCAAATTGCCAGGACTGGTTTCCTGCCCTTTGTGGAAGAGCTGGCAGGCAAGCCGGGACCAGCAGCAGGATACCCGTATGCTCGAGTCAGACAGACGTCTCCAAGGTCGCAGTGTGCCCCAGTGTACAGAGATCGGCAGAACGATGCCTAATGAGTGGTTTCCTATCTGTATCATGAGACTGTTAGAAAAATAAACACTACTTAAGTTCTCTCTAGATTAAATCTGACAATTAAAGTTACTGACTGGGGAAAAAACAATAGTAAGTGTAGTATGAAGCTCTAAAATCACATTACTTTCAGTAAGATGATGTGCGATTTCATATATTATTGTGCATTTAAGTATAATTTTAAATTAGAGCATACTGACCTACTTAATTGAACAGAAGTCCCGTGTAATAGTGCTCGTTCAAACGCACTGCTGTGTTACGCACAGTCTGTGCGAGTTCTGCCTCACACCAGAGCTGATGCTCTACTGTACAAAGTGGAAAGAGATGTCTCCTTTGCAAACACATTCTTTTTTAACTGTTTGACTTAACTCACTCTGAAACATTTCAGTGTTGTCACAAACCACAGTCCTGCACTTCATTGTAAAATAATTATAAAATCACCCAGACCGCAGCAGCGTGGTGAAGGTTTGCAGCAGCCACTCGACCATCTGTTCCTTATAAACTGTTCCATTTTCAGAGAAGGGAGGAAACCAAGTCAAACAATTTTAAGAAGAGATTTCGCTTCATAATTCTGTGGTATTTAAATTTTTATATTCCAGCCTTCTCTTTTGTTGGCTAGATTTGCCTTTTTCCGTAATTTTTTTTTTTTTTTTTAAAAAACTCGCCCTTTCATTACGGTTTAGAAGAAGAACTTCCATGGGAGGACAAAGGTAGCGGCGTAGTAGCGCGGGAAGGCAAACCCAGCGAGCGGTCGAGGGTGGCACCACGAGAAGCTGTCCCCAGAGCGCCCCAGCCCTGTGGCAGCTCTTGGGCAGCGCAGATACCAGTTGCTTTCAAGCACCCACAGTTGACAGTCAGATTATTTAATAAAGGGTGGGAATAGAAAGGTGGATACGTGTGAGGGGAAACTGGACGGGAGAAAGAAAAGGCCGTGCTTGCCTTTGTCTATTGTAATGCCATTTCAGCCTGCTCGCAGTGGGGTTCAAACTATATCTAAACAAATGAATAGCTGACAATGACAGCTGAAGCACCCAGAATGCCAAAGGCAGAAAAGAACAGGGCTCAGACAAAATCTGTTTTCCCCACATGCTGTGGTCCCTCGGGCTGTTTGCTGAGGAGCAGGAAAGCAGCCTCACAGAAGACCTCCACGGACGGGCATCTCTCCACAGGCCTGGCCGGGGAACGCTGAAGTGTGGTTCTTTTAGCGCTAACCCAGGCTGCCATCCTCTCATTACTTACTGGAGTCAGAGGTTCAGGGAACGTGGACGATCTGATGGAGTCACTGGGAACTGTGCTCTCCACCTTGCTGAGGTTTCCGTACATCACATAATCCAGCCCAAGCGCCCCGCAGTCAGTGGGAGAACACGCAGTGGCTGATGACGTCAGGACTTTCTTTCTTTCTGACCGCTCACAGTTATCTATCTGGTTGAAGTGTTTAGACAGCTTTGTGTGTAAAACAAGACACATAATGAGGATAATCCAATATGCTTTAACCATTTTGGTTTCCCTCCAGTCGTGGCCCTTATGGTCGGAATAATGGATCCTTATCCTACAAGTCTGGAGCCAGCCCACCTGCTTCCCGTGAAAAGGACCCTTTGTCAACACTGTGCAAAAACCAGCTGAGTCCTGCTAGCATCCATCAGAGTTACAGGGCTTCATCAGCCAGCAGCAGCAACTCAGGCTCATACAAAGGAAGCGACACCAGCCCGGTGATGAGGCAAGTGTTTATTGCGGCATCCTGGCATTCAGCGCACTGACTTACCTTCTCCGCACAGTAACATGGGACCAGCTGTAAGAGTTGCTGAGCAGGTCACCTTGCTCCTCAGCATTGGTGTGGCTCCTCATATTGGTGGCTCGAGAGTCCACAGTGTGCTCCATCCCTTGTAAAAGCTTTATTGTTTCAGCACTGTAAAATTCAAGGTTACTTTTAGTCAAAGCCTTTCATAGTTGGTTTTCACTCCAAGGCAGGCTCCTTCATGTGGTTTCATGCCATCAATTCTCATGGGGAATTACCGGTTCTTTCCTCTGAGGGTTCTTTCGCTTTGGAGAGTGTTGGGTGGGGTAGTATAGAAAACATGATACACTCGGTTGAAAATCCTTTCGCCCTGCCCAGCCTTAGGCACCTCCCTAAGGAGTGTGGTGTCCTCTACAAGACAGAAAACAGATACCTGCCAGAGCATGTGACACATGTTGCAGAGAAGAAATTGCCACCATGCTGCTGCTCTTGCCGTCTCTCTCTCTCTCAGGCAGCCCAGCAGCCAAGTATGTCAGACACACACCTAAAGCTAGATAGGATGAATCTAGGTTTTGGTGTGCTCAGCTTCATAACTCATGTGTGGAGCTGAACTCAGTCCCTGCAGGACCTTGCCTGGCCATGCCTACAGCTGGATGTCCTCACCAGCAGCCCGGCTGCCTGCTCTTAGACACACCACCCATTTTGGGTGAGGAGATGGCTGGGTATTTTAAAGTTAAATGTCTCATTGGATGTAATGGCACTGAAACCAAGTACAACAAATGGTAAATTTTTCACTATAGCCACAAATCAGCTGGTCCCACAAGTACTTTGACTTGCCAGACGGAGTCACTTGTGCTGACACTGAGGAGCCCCAAATGAGTCAAGCTTTGTATCAGTCAATGGGATGGTTTTCTTTTTGCCAGGACTGAAGAACTGTAGGAGTTCTGTTATGTGATGGTTTGTTGTTTTCCTTTTCAGGCGATCAGGGAGATACAACTCTTGTGGGGAAAATCACACCATTAAGCCACAAAATCCAGAGCAGTATTTGACTCCTCTGCAGCAGAAAGAAGTTACAGTACGTCATTTGAAAACAAAGCTGAAGGAATCTGAGAGCAAACTTAAAGAAAGGTAAATTTCACCTCAGAAAGCAGAGTTAGAAAGAGTTATTCAGGAGCATTTAGGGGTGGGAATCCTAAACATTTTTACTCATACAAGTTGAAAACAACTTAAATTAAGAAATTTGAAATACGATCAGTCTGTTTTCTGATTAGGCTGTTTTCAGGTATTTCAGGTTTCACAGCGTTCTCAGGGAATATGTACCATGCAGTTTAGTTATAAATATACCCATCTCTTTTCCATTGTTTGAACTTTCACAACAGAATACTTTTAAAGGATGATTTTTTACCAGTTTGATTTAGCATTGAGACCTCTTATACATAAGACAGTTTCTACCTGCCAGCATGTATTACCTTAGTCTCCTGTTCTACCTCACTCGGTGAAATATGACAGTGTTCAGTATCGAAGCAACAAAAACACAAGTGGGTGCACTGGTTTGTGTAAGAGCTTTTCTTTCATAAGGGGAGAAGGGGGCATTTGTGATCATATTTCATAGAATCATAGATACCTCAAGGATCATCTGGTCCCTTCCAACCTGGTATTCTGTGAAATACAACCACAAACATCCCCCTTCTCCCCTAATGAAAGAAAAGCTCATACACAAACCAGTGTGCCCACTTATGGTTTTGTTGCTTAGATACTGATTTTTTCACAATAGCCCTTTGTATGGGCACTGAGCAAAGAAGTGACAATGTGCATTACACAGCAACAGATGTCTCTTTTACTCAAACTGCGCTCTGAGAGCTCTCCAGAGGTCTCCAGCACACCCAACCCAGGTGGGCATAAAGGGCCGTTTGAATGGAGCCCCAAGGCAGAGTCCCAGGGACCTGGTGGTCCCACTTGGGACAGCCTCACCTCTGCATCTGTGAGGGCTGGATTTCACGTAGGGGTCCCCTCTCCCCACTCGCTTGCAGGTCAAGGCAGCAGTCTCTGGCTCCATGGTGGGCAAAGCAAGGCAGGTGCCTGCAGCCCTGAGCCTCCTACTGTCTGAGGCCAACGTTGGCTCTGGCTGTAGGCGACAAGCTGCTGGCAGGCATGGGGGACACATTTGAGCAGTGGATTCTCATTTCCTCCAGGGCGAGGCAATAGGTGAGATGTTAAGCACTGTACTGGTTGGACCTAACCTAGTGGCAACCACTTGCGCCTCAAAATGTCCAGAGTCATGGCGTAGACCACAAGGCTGCTGGCCGTGTGGTGAGGTTGGTGACTCCAGTTGGCGATCAGCCGGTGTGTCTTGGCAGCCAACTTATCCTTCCGCCAGCTCTCTCAGAGGTGGCAGCAAATGATACAGGGAGGAAATTGCTTCCTTCTTGGAGCATCGCTGCAGCATAGCCATCCCCATGCGGCGGAGCTTCACGTTGATTCTTTAACTGACCAGTTCGCAGAAGTGTTACAACATTTTTATTTCGCTACAGGGAAACAGAAATACAAGAGCTCAAAGCTCAGCTGGGACGGATGAGGGAAGACTGGATAGAAGAAGAGTGTAATCGTGTGGAGGCAGAGCTGGCCTTAAAGGAAGCAAGAAGTGAAATTAAACAACTCAAGCAGGTTATTGAAACCATGAAAAACAGCTTGGCTGAGAAAGACAAAAAAATTCAGAAATACTTCATAGACATAAACGTTCAAAACAAGAAACTGGAATATCTGCTGCAGAGCATGGAGATGAGGGATGAGCAGTGCCTGGAGTACATGTGTGACTCAGAGGGGAAGCCATTAGCATTGTGTGCCACAATGCCAGACAGCCTCATCACGGAAGACCAGGCTCTGGAGGAGGTGGCAGACAGTGGGCTGCTTCTTAATGAGGACACAGCTAATGGGACTGATTCAGCTGAAGAGAGTTTGATCACCACAACCTCTGAGTTAAGTGATCCAGCTCCCTCCAGTTCTGCTGTAAATAAAGAGATGCTTGAACATGTTCTGGATGAAAAACTAACTTCCTCCCAGGAGGAGGAGAAAAACAGCAACATGATGGTGGAACAGGCCGTCCAGACTGATGTGGTGCCATATAGCTTAGATGTGGAGCACCTCATTCAAAACATCTTCAGAGCTCAAGATGTCTGTCCTCTAAGCCCACCTTCTTCACTGAAGGAATTGAGTGAATTTTCTTTTGGAAGCTTCAGTGATTCTGGCATGATCGTGGACTTAACTCCAAGTGATCCAAACTCTGCCATCCTTTTGTCTCCTATGGAGTCTCCATGCAGGAAGGTGGAGCACGGAGTTAATGAAAACCGTTTCATGAAAGAACTTGATTTTGCAGAACCTCATGATGATGAAGCCTTTGGGTGTGTCAATACTTTCTCTCAGACAGGAATAAAGAGGAGATACTGGAGCAGCAGTCTTCTCAGAGATGTTCTGGCTGTAGCAGCCCCTGTTGTACCAACTCTTGTGTGGGCTTTCAGCACTCAGAGAGGAGGAACAGATCCCATTTATAATATTGGAGCATTGCTTCGTGGTTGCTGCCTGGTGGCTCTGCACTCTTTACGCCGTACACCCTTCAATATCAAAACCTAAAGTCCACTCTGCCCCTGGGCACCAACTGGCTGACACAGAGAGAAAGAGGAATGAGATAGACCATAAAAAGTTATTGTATATTCTGGCAGAGTCCATAATTTTGCTTTTGACTATTTGATTTGCACTATAAATCGGTTCGAAAACATGTTCCTTGTTTCAAAATAAAAATGGTGAACTCTAGTTCCACAAGATGTTTTCAACCGGTGTTTTTAACAGTACTGCTGCCTACAGAAATAGTCCTCCTGCTCCTGGGCATTGTGTCCCTCGCCTCTCCTGATGGCTTTTTGGTGCCAGCTCATCTGCACAGTGAACATGACCAGGGAAATCAAGGAGGATTACAGCTAGGGCTCTTTCATGTTCGTTCGCTGAATTAGCATTAAGCTCAGTCACTTTCTCTGGGTGGTTCACTGGGCAAATGTACAAGAACTTTGAGCTGGCTCAAGGGCAGCACGAGATGCGCACGGGAACAAATGGCCAGAGAAAGGTGGAGTATTTCTTTCAGCAGCACTAACCTAAAACATTTGTGAAACTACAGTGTTAAGTGACATGGAGACTTGTTCCCCCTAAGGGTATCACACATGCGCTCCAGAAAGCATGCTAGCGCTTTCCATTTGTTGTCCAACGTGTCAATTCAATTTAGAGGTAAACCCCATATTCCCCAGGCAGCTTCCAGCACATCGTTCGTGCCTGTCTCGTGTAGTGCTCCTCTCAATCATGCAATTGCTCGAGCATTTCACTGGTCTTGTGCGTATACGGGGACTGTAACCAAAAATGTACGTTGTTGGGAGTCTTGAAACTTGTTACAATGATAAGTATAGGCGTGGGTACACTTTGAATCTTAATGTTGGTTTAAAGTCTTAATGTATTGGAACCCAATAGTCTTTCGAGCCCTTTGAAATACTATGTATAAATGTATTGTGTTTTAACTTATTGTTTATTTAATTGCTTTATTGTAAATTACCTTTATAATCACAGGTTCATTAAAGCATGTTAGAAATGTCAAACGTGTGTGAGCGTTTTAGTGTAGCAAAGCTGTAAAAAATACCCTGTCTCAGCTGAGCCGTCGGGCACCGGCTGAGCAGGAGGAGGCACTGTGTCAGGGCATAAGGAGCCATCAGGACCCAGAGAACAGAGCTGGACTGACAAAACCAACATACAGCTCCAAGCGTGAGCACTCAGCCAGAAGAAAAAGGCTCCAGTCGGTCTGCGGACAGGCGTGCCGCCCGCTCTGCTGCACCCCCGCTGCATTAACAGGTGTGGGTGACCTAATCTTTAACCTAATGCAATCTTCTGGAAACTCGTAACTTCTCATTTCTGCACTCCCAGAAAAATATCAGTCTTTTAAAAGTCTTTTTTTTAAAAAAAAAATCATTTAACAGAGGTCCAGAAGGCCTTTTTTAACCCAGCCGAGAGTCACGCAGTCTTAGTGCTCACACTGACGTGCAATGTGACCATCAAACCATGAATTCTCCACGTCCAAAACTTGAGAGCTGTGCACAGGTCAGAGGAGGACAACATTACCCAACAGATGAAACAGTGGGGTTTGTCTGGCTCCACCCAAGCTTTCGACACCACCGCTGGCCATTGAAACCTCACTGCTCTCCTGTCTTCCCCCTCAGCAAAGCACATCTCCCTGTGCAACGCAGAGCAGAAGAGGTTTAGTGAAGCATGCCCAAGCCATGCATTGCTCTGCAGCTTTCGGGAAGAAGGGAGGTATTAGTAAGGCACAAGGGAGGAGGAGCAATAAGTGGCCAGCACGCAGGGAGCATTCGCAACACTCAAGAGGGCAGTACACACTGATGTTTAGACGTGATGCAGGAGACCTTTCATGTCCCTGTGACACCTGGGTTCTGAGTTATTTGTGTTTGCAACAAAGATTCAAGAGGGTTCATTAAGCGTTATATTAAGGAAGAGAAATCTAACAGACAGTTTTGATGTAATATAGTCCACAAGAGGTCACAAAGATGGCCATGACAGCATCTTCCTTGCTTTGCCAATAACTTCCCCTTCCACAGTCTCCTGCCTTCTTGCACTCCTGCAGACCAGCAGGTTTAATGTAAATTTTACGTAACCATGGAATTTCATCATTCCTAGAGATCTCCTCTTGGGACTGGAACACATGACAGAAAATGCCTTATTCCTACTTTAAAGTACGTCTGTTCAGGGCCAAGAGAGCAGTATTTTATACTAAATGTTACCAACTTTATTACAATTGTAGATTTCTCCTTTACAGCCACTATCATGTAAGTGTTCTTCACATAAGTGGTGGTGAAATGGAGCATAATTTAGAGGAAAAAGTCGTCTTCAGTTCCAGGAGAGATACCCACCTGTGATTACATGAGTTTCTTTTGCAGCAAGAGGTAACAAACCAGCACAACCCTACACTTACATTTAAAATTTCAATAGGCCAACCTCATTTCAATCCATGTTTTGGGCAGGCTCCACGTCACAGCGGTGTTTTTAAACGTGCAATTTAAGATACAAGGTACTAACACTAGAAAAACATCAAAGTTGCTTCCTGCCCTTAAAAAAATCTTGTGGTCTGCTCAACTCTCATATGGCATTTAACTATAGTCAGGGACAAGCAACAGAATTCCCATCACATTCCTGATAAAACTGCTTGCTCTGATCTTTACCCAAAATTCAGCTCACTTCCAAGCCTCCACCGTTCCTCCTCCATACAGCAAGGATGCAGACAGGTCAAGGTGCCCTTCGTAAGAAGAGGCCTGAAGTACCATGATAAATGCTCCAGTCCCAGACTTTAGGGAACTGGCCTTTGTTCCCTGATCCACAGAGGATACACCAGTTGTTGCTACAAACATACCACCTTCATTTTTTTTTCCCCTCTAATATTTCACTTTAGTCTTAGTCATGTTTCACCTGGATCCCACTGGTGCTGTATGGAGTAGCTAGGGGAGGACCATTAGCCTCCGAACGGTTCAATAAAAACTCCTGTTCTTTTTTTCCCTGAGTTTAGAAAATGCTCATCCCCACACCCACAGCGCACTGGAAAGTCTTGTCTCAGAGCATGCAGGTGCGGAGGACAAGCAGTTCGTAGGCTGAGGGTAAAACAGCAGATTTCAGCTTGAATTAGGGCTTATAGCACAGGCATCGAGTCAGCACCTTCCGGAGCTGAAGCTCAGGATTACCTGTTGGTAATCCCATTACTCTTTTTTCTTTCTAACCCAGGGACAAAAAAGCCTTTCTATAATACTCAGCTTAAGAGGTACCCCACATGCCCCTCAGGTGCTGAAAACACTGAGGCTCAGGCACTGCCCACCTCCCCACCAGATTCACTTGCACCCTTACTGATGTCCACTCTCTCATAAGGCTGTTCTTACCCTCTAATTACTCATTTCTCCTTCCTTCCCCCCTCAAATAAACTCTCTCCCCTAAACCTAACCTCTAGAAACATACTAAAAATGAAAGCACTGTTTTATGTATGCCCTACATGAGAAGAACAAGAGAGTATTTTGCTCCAAAAGCCTTCAGACAAATGAACACAGGACATTGCAAACATGACCAACTACAGCACAGTCAAGTAAATGACGATTTTTCAGTCACATCAGCAGGTCAGTCCTCCACAGACCTGTGAAATCCTCCAGAAAATATGCACAGAAGTACATATTGTTGCCCTCTAAAATGTATTTTAAAATTTAACATTTTTCAAGGACTTCTTTCATATCTGAAAATTGCTGTCAAATCACCTGACTTTTGTACAAGACTTGAAACAACATGACAAGTATACTAACCGTTTTTAAAACTTTTCTCCATGACTAAGGCTATTAAAGGTAATGCTTACTGTCTTGTTTTCTCAGTAACTTATCTTTTACGCAAAACTTGTGTCAGAACCTACTAAAACTTTGTTTCAAATTCCATTTTTCTAGGCAGGCATGATCTAGTCAGATAGCCTCCCACTCCTTCCCATTCTTTTACAACTTCGCTGTACCCTGTATGCACAGGGAACAAGTCTCAGGAACAGAATTTGCTGTCTTCACTCATCTGTCACAAGATAAGAAATCCATACAGCCCATGAATTCCGGGATAATCGCATCCACACAGAAGATGGAGAAGGCATTCACTGAAGCGCTGAGCTGGACGCAAGAACCACATAGACTTCCCTCCTCCTGTACAGCTTTCCTTCCAGCAGACATTACATTTTCCTTCTTCATTAAAGCACCGTTGTCTTCTACTGCATATTTACCATGCACTTTACCAGAGGAATTTCAGTGTAAATACATACAGTAAGTGTACAAAAAATGGAATTTGAGAAGTGCTATTAACTAAACTGAGAATTTTCACACTGGCTTTATTAGCAGGAGGACACAGTATTCTTTTCTTTTCAATTATACTACCTAGCCAACAAGTATAAGGTGTGAGGATATTTATTTTTTTTTCTAACCGTAGGAAGTAAAATAATTTCTGCTAGAAATACAAATTCACCAATACAAGTAAGTGATAAATTGCTCCCCTACGTTCACAGCATCAGCCTTTGTAAGCAAGGAGCAGCGTGCACCACTGTTGTGCAGCAATGCCACTGCAGTGTTGTATGTAAATTGAGCACAGTAGCACAGGAAGCTGCAAGTGACAAAGTGACAAGAAATCCACTTTTGTCTTCAGCTGTAACATGTGCTCCACCATAGCATACTCTACCAGGAGTACCTTTAGAGTTGCAGCTCATCCATAATAAGTTATTTTCCTCTGCACAGGTCAATATGATCTCCCATGGAAAACTCCAAAGTATTTATAAACACTTTTATAAAAAGGCAAAAGCAGACATTCTTTATCAGGCAGGAAGCAAAGGGTTCTTTAAAACTGTTTAATTACATGTTTCAGGTAAGCACAGACAATACAGTAGATTTCCCACCACTGAATATTTACATTCTTTTCTCTAGGCTTGAGCTGTTCATTAAGAGTGTCTTTCAATCAACATCCTTGCTCAATCACTTTTGCTGCAAAGAAGGTGCTGGAATAGAACTATTGCAGGAAACATCATTCCATCAAGGCATGATTTTCTGGTTTGGTTGGTTTTTTTGTTTGTTTTTTTTTTTTTCTCCTTTAAGAACCACCTACTAGTAGTTCAAGATATTTTGGGAGAATCTGGGCTTCCAAGATGACCTGAAGAATGCATTGAAACCAAGCAGTGTGTTGAAGTCCTAGAAATACTTAAATCAATACCAATATGTATGTTGTAGAGCTGAAATTCTCTTTTTCACTGGCACTGCCATCGATACCTGGTTTCTGTTAGGACAGTTTTACACCAATTTTGTTTTGTTCCTTTTTCATTAGCCTTTGGGCCTCTTTCTCCATTTTCTTCCGTTGTTGTTCTGCTGCTCTTTTTTCCCTTTCTGCTATCTTCTGTTGTCTGTAATTAAAGAAAACATGAATTGCTAAATAACAGGAATCCAGTTTTCAGCATGATCATACCTTAAGTTCCTGTCAATAAATAGGTTATTATAACTAATAAAAAAAGAGCTTCAGCCTACTGTACTTAGGCTCAGAATAGTGCTTAAGTCCTTTCTTCAGATTAATAGTCTTAGGCAGTAATGTTTGTTCAAATTATTTTGCAACCTAAAAGCCACTCAAAGATTAAAGTAAATCAGTGAGAGTGTATGACAGTTATAAGGACTGTTATTTTAGATTAAAAAAAAAATATCTATCTAATGCTTTGAGTCACAAGATTACCCATCTTTTCAAATTCAGAGCAAAAACAGTTCTACTCGTCTGGAACGCTGAATTATGTCCCCCCTTTCATCAGCAGTTACCCTCTTTGTAATGAAAGTACTACAAACATTTTCCTCATGATCAGATGAGATGATAACTTCTAATACTTCCTTGCACACGTTCAGGATCTGTGTTGTACTCTATTGTTCAGTAAAAATATAAATAATAGCCTTTAAGGAAATGAAAAAAAAAAAAAATTGAAGTCTTCGGTTGTGTATCCTTTTAGCATTATTTCTTATCACTGCTATAATACCCCAAACCTTGCTATTTGCTAACTCAAAGAATATGTCTACAGAAATAGGTTTCCAATTTCAACAAATATATAGCTGACTAGAGCGAAGGCAAAAAAACCCCAACACAAAACCCCACTCATTTTATTCCTCCACTTCGACTAGAACACATCACTGAGAGGCACTGGGGCTACAACTGGATCTGTACTCCAAGTGGCACGCTGCAGCTCGCTCTCCTGTATTGCATCAATAGTAATAGAACACTATAAGGAGGTCACTCCTGCTTTCGATTCAGCTTATTGGATATAAAAAATTTGCTAAGTTGCTTGTAAGAGGACTTTAAAAATAAGAAATCAAGCTTCATTAACTTGAAAAGGTGAAATTTAACATGGATTCAGTAAGAATAAAGAATTGCTTATTAAAAGAGAATAAAGAATTCTAATTGACAAGGCAGTAAGGAGGTAACTTTCAATGTCTCTAAATTACCTGTGCACATCCACTTAAGTGTGTAAAACATATAAAATTAAAAACTATTACCACCTGAAGCAACCTCCGCCTCCGGTAGATTCCAACTACGGACAAACTGCATACACAAAACTTAAGATGTAGTCTTTGTACCTCAAATATTTTTATCTTTGTATTGGACAGGAGAGGGACTGCACTTATTGAATACCTTCATGGTTTCCCTCGATAAATTAATGGCTAGAAGTTTTCCTATACTTTGTTAAGCTGCTCTGCTGTCTGTCATGGAAGAATGAAATTAGTCATTCACATCAGGATCCACCTTCCAAGTTAATGTAAGCCAAAACTTTTTTTTTTTTTTTTTGAGATCATGACCCACTATTCTACATTCCACCAGAAAGCCAGATAGTTGACAGTGCTGTCAGTCTGTAGCATATGCAGTGTAATACTATTTGCCACTTTACAGTAGCAGATTTTCTTATATTCCCCACACCTCTGAACTGATAGGGGAGGGAAGAAGCTGTATGTACACCAGCCAGCACGTAGAGCCAGTGGAGTTCCAAAAAGCCACGAGGTGTTAAGCAATGCTGCTATTCATTTGCAATTCTGAAGCAAGGAAAGTCATAACAGATCATGTTTCTTTTCCCCCTCTATAAACTGCACGGCACAGAACTCCTCTGCGTAGAGAAGTGGTTTTCATGCCCTCTACTGGCTGAGTAATTTTACTGGACTTAAGTTATGCTCAAATGCAAAGAGACCTTCACATAACCTCAGCTAGAGGAACTGAAGTCAGAAAAAAAAATACAAACGAGTAGCTTACCACAAAGTGATACCTTTCCACTACTCTTTTACTTGGTCATTATTCAAAACATTGATCTCTATTCCATACTTCCTGCATGTTTTCAACATACAGTTACTACCTTTCATAGTCAGAAAGGTTTCATTTCTCAAAAAAGGAAAATCCTGCGATGAACTGCAGCCATATGAGACTCACTTTTCCTGCGTTCCAAAGCAAGGAGTTCAGCAGAGTTTAGATGGAACAATATCAGTTGTTTAAACCAAGAAAGTATTAATTCCTTATGTCAACCTTGCTTTGCATTCCTAACACAAGTTATGTCCAAAAAAACCCCTAAACTTCTCTCATTGGTTAGCAGAACATGAATTATAGTCAGAACACTATTAGCAGACATTCTTACTCCTGTATGTTTTTATTTACTGTATATCTTCTGAATAGCTGTAACAAGAATGATTTCATACCATTTGGTCTTTTACTTCAACACAACTAAAAATGCACCAGCATTTAGCTTAACTGTTCCCACTGGTAAAAAAAACTTTGTTGGTATTAGAAAGTCTAAAGGTGCAGATAGGTATCTACAATATGCAGAAGAAACCAAGTTGTAACTAACTTCAATTAAGTGAAAATCCAGTTTATTATCCACTACACTGATACATCACTGACTGCAAAATTTCAGTGCATCCCAGCCCAGAACCTGCTGGGGAGCGGGGTAAAAAATAAAAACCAAAAACCAGACTACAGAACTTCTCAGGCACTAGTAGCCTACTCAGCAGTGTCTTTCAGCATGCTTAGATTCCAGGAAGCATTTGGCTTACTATACGTGCTTAATTCAACTGTTACGCATTAAGTCACCAGAGACACCACAGGACAGTCTTCTCTGCTATTCAGCAGGCCACAGCCCACTTCTGCACAATTGATCAGCACTCCATTACTACACACAAATTATTCCAGTCTAAGATACTTCTCAATACTAACTGAGCACCAACAGGCACCCAGACACAGCTAGCTAAGGGAGACCCTTACTTTTCCTGCACACTCACTCCATTCTCCATGAGCACTGCTGGAGTACAATCAGCTTTAATGCTCTGGAGGGTTAGGGGGACTTTGTCCCCCATTTAGCAGTTTGAAATCTTCAGATCATTTTGTAGACCAAGATGCAGCATTCCAGCATTAAGAAGAGACTCCAGATGACTTCCTTATTACAGTCTGTTGAAAACAGAGCCAGGTCTGTCAAGTACTATACTTAAGTTTTACGTTAAATGTCAGATGTTAAGTACACCACAGATGTCTACTGCAAGAGGAACTGTAAACCCAGAAGATATTTCCTATCAATCTTGCTAAAAATCCGCCAGCACTTTCCTCAATTAGAGAAAAACATTGTAATTTGATGTGCCATGAATAAAACAAAGGTTTTACTTCACACAGCTGGGATACAGCTTACACAATGATCAGTTGTACTAAAGTGGTCACTCATAGCTGGCCAAGCAGTCTTAATAGTTACAGTTCTGATAATTTTCTATTTATTTAAAGTATTTGGACACATATACATCCCTTCTAAAACAAGTTTTTTCAGTGAGGCCAGGGAAGAATTCTATAAAAATTAACCACTTGAGCTGAAACTTTTCAATAGTAAAGATGTCAGGCTGAAATCTTTAGAACAGCTTCAACCCAATTAGATGACACTTTGAAAAATGGAGCTTGTGGGAAAACCCCAGTTCTATTGCCACCTAAGGGATTTCTCTTACTAAGTATCCTACAGCATGAACCTGACAATTGGCAGACAACATACCTTTGACCATCCTGGAAATATCCATTACACAAATTTTAAACTCCAGAAATGAAGTGGCATATGCACACACCAGTAGCTAATTTTTATACAACAAGTCCCTGCTTCAGAAAGTTTGAGTACTTCTTTTCGTAGTCCTAAAAACATCTGTGATGGAATGGAGCAAGGGTTAAGTGAAGTACAATATGGCCTCTGTGGTTAGCAAAAGTAGTTGTTTCATTTCTCAGTTCAAAAAAAGCAGTATTTTTCATTGCCTTTCATTTTCTTTGTCTGGTGTATCATAGATTAAATCTCAGTAGACTGCACTTTAGAGACTGAAGATCTTACTGAGCCGTTTGATAGTCTTTACAGGAAAGGGTAGTATCCTCAGAACAAAAATAGCCCAAAGGCACATCATTCATATCACAAACATTGTCCTTCTGTGATACATCAGTGAAAGACAAGACCTGAAACAGTGTCAGTACTTAAGTTAAAAAAAAAAAAACCAAAACAAGATACTGACCAGAAGGTACACATAAAGGTATCTGATTAAGTTTACAAAAATATTTGCATTATTACCCTATTCTCACATGTTAGGATCCTGCAGAGCCAGACTGACAGAATTAGAATTAGTTGAACTTACTATCTACCATTGATGCACCAAAAGTATGCTGCTGACTTCCCTCTTGTCTTATTCTACTGGTTGAAAAAAGTAAATTTTCCCACGTATTACAATAAATAGTTCACCCTTCATACTCCTTCTGTGTGTTCTTAAGAGGAAAAAAAAAAGCCCAAACCAACACAAACGGAACAGACAAAGTTTTCACACAACTTAGTGCAAGACACTGATTTTACATTCAAGCCTTATCAGCTAGTTAAGTTCGCTAGAAAAGCATAGCTCCTACAGGAATTCCAATAACATGTTCTACCCTGAACTATTTTCACTGTACAGCACACGGTTATGATCCTTTTTAAACGTACATCCAGTGGCATTTTACTTAACCAAGTTGAAACATGTTATTTGTACGTAATAAATTGTTGGGGACATGTCGTTTTTTTGGGGGGGAATGGGACATTAATGTGTTGTTCCAATGTTACAGTGATTCTCAGATTTCCCCTCCTCTACTAAACTAATTAGATTCAAAACGTATTCTGCCAAGTATGAGTTACACAGAGATTACATGCATAAAAATAATTTGTCTTAAGAATTGTTAAACAATCTTTAGTACTTATCAGAAAGGTGTTACAACAAACAAACCTGTATTTGACTCTTTTACATGTCAAAAGTTTACATGGTGTTACATTATTTTCAGTTACCTAAGAACTTCTTCTGCCTGCCAGGCAGCATCTTCCTCTTCTTCCCAGGCATTAGTATTTTCTTGCCAAGTATCCAAGTCTCCCAGTTCAGGCTGAAACAAAAGAAGAGATGCTCTAAGCACATGGAAAAATTAGATAACACACATTTATTTTTAACCTTGATGCTTCAGACTTCCAGAAATACTTGAGATATGACAGGACTTCTCAGCTTATTGTCTGTTTTCCTCTGCTCTAATACTGACTTCTTCCAGTTAATTGTTGCAGGGTTTTTTGGATTCTATTGGTGGGTAACCAAGGAAGGAAGGAAGTACTGAAGTGCGGTTTTAGGAAGGAGAAGATTGAGCAGACAAGATGAATAGATAGTGTAAGAGATTTCTGGAAGTTGCATGGACAAACCAACATGTACCTCCACGTGTTTGTGTGTCCAATATCACTTGACTTCTAGTGATGAAAAGCAGCACTCATTTCCTGAATTATTGTCATTATGGTCGGTCTAAGGAGGTAGTATGACCACTCTGTACTGCTTTCTGCCTAGACCCTTTTGTGCACTACGTTAATCAAAGCAGAAGTTCTGTTAAAGAAGGTAAAGGGGAAGGGAGGGAGAGCATCTCCCACAAAACAGCCAGGATGTTAGGTAACTGTTTTTTCAAAGGCTAAAGAGCAAAAATTAGGAGACTGTTAGAATACAATCCCTACAGAAAAGAAGGGAGATGTAGAAAGTTAAAAATGGGTCCAAGATAATAAAACAAAGGTAAACCCAGAGGCTTAAAAAAAAATTGAAAAAACCCAAAAACTAAAACAACAACAACAAAAGACCAAAACCCAAACTTTCTACTCTTTAGTTAGGAACTTACTGTGTAGAATCCAAAAGCGTGTAGTCTGTTGCTTTAGAAGACTTGCAAGTATACAAGTGTTTGGAAGCTTCTTACATTTTTATCACTGATCTATTAAGTTTGTCAGTAGAATACAATCTAATTTTAACTAATAACTACTTCATTGCTTTGAATGAAATACTCAATTTTAAACAATTTACGTTATTCCACAACTACTACTCTTGCTCCCCACATGCAGACCTTAGGCAGACTATTCCTCCTCCTACAGAACAGTCATTTAACTGTCAAATACAAGATCAATACTTAGAGCATACTTACAGACTGGTGAATAAAAGGAATATCTTGTGTAGCTGCTAATCTGCTAGAAAATCCCGTGTTTCCCTCTGGAATCCCAAAATTTAAAGGCTCTCGTTTTTTAATAACTATCTGAAAGTATTCAAAAAAAGGAATAAGAAGCGGTTAGTCAAAGCACTGCACAGATTCCTCGGTGATCGTATAACTCTATGCCTGTAAAGGTACAGCTACACAACACCGCACTGTGTCTCATACCTGCTCGGGTTCTCAAAACTGTACAGCCAAATGAACTGATAAGTGAGAGAAGCTAAATGCAGAAGACACAATAACACCCTCCTCCCCCCAACTAGCTTTTTCTTAAGTCACATGGAAACCTACGACTGTATTAACATAAAAAAGGGCACGAAGAATTAGAGAGCAAATTATCACACCTCCCAGTATTCATATGAGCTACCAGTTACATGATATATTCCTTGGAGAAATCCTGCTTCCACAATAGGTCACTGTAAGACACTGCTCTTGGGGATAGCGGTGTCTGCACAGCTATACTGCTTTGGTGTCTGCACAGCTATACTGCACAGCTATACAGTCTTTTTTCAGTGGTGCCCAGTGATAGGACGAGGGGTAATGGGCATAAACTTGAACATAGGAAGTTCCATCTTAACATGAGAAGGAACTTCTTTACTTTGAGGGTAGTGGAGCACTGGAACAGGCTGCCCAGAGAGGTGGTGGAGTCTCCCACTCTGGAGACAATTAAAACCCGCCTGGACGCTGTCCTGTGTAACGTGCTGTAGGTGACCCTGCTCTGGCAGGAGGGGTGGACTAGATGATCTCCAGAGGTCCCTTCCAACCCTAACAATTCTGTGAATTCTGTGAACATGAGCTCTCTTACCTACTTCTTACCTACATGAAAAACATGCACTGATGCTTCTCCTGAAAGGCTCATGAGCAAATTTAACACAGTTGCCAAAATCCTGTACCCCTTCCTTGTCTTGACCTCAATATATGAACTTATTCACTTATTTCATTTAGCCACTTTAAGTCTCTGCTGCTTCCAAGAGAGGTAGATTCACACTTCCACTGACTGTACAAATGCTAGTACCAATGCAAGAAAGGAAACCGGACTAGACCGTCTTAGTTCGCAATGACAGACTCTGCTACTTGACTGAAGTTCTGTTTCCAGACATTGTAGATACGAGCAGTAACATGAGTAGATTCCACCCCAGACCTTGAGGTTTATACTGAGCCCAAATTCAGCAGAAATACAAATGCAAATTCATATGTAAGAATGTTAAGAAGGCCAAGTAAGCAGGAACGTTCTTCAATATGCCTGCAGTCATCCCTAGAGATGACTCTGTTTAAACTATACCCAGTATAGAGTATTCAAAACAGCATGGACTCTTCTCAAGTTTTGTTCTGAACCTGAAGCTCATTCTATTAGGCAAAAAATGTCATTAGATACAAAGGAGCAGTCTCGCTCCCCAGTCCTCCCTCTGCCCCCCAGATTTTGAAAGATCAAAATCCTTAGAAGAATTTAGTCCACTGAATACTGCAGATCCTTGAATATACAGAAAACTGACCCCAGTATCATCTCCAGTTCACAGGACCACAGCAAGATTCAGGTTGGAAGAGGCCCCAGAAGGTGCATAACCCAACCTCCTCCTCACAGTACTGTCAGCTCTGAGGCTGATGAAGGTACTCAGGGCTTATCCACTTGGGTCTTGAAAACTTTCAGAGATGGAGCCCGCACAACCTCTGTGGTAACCTGTTCCAGTACTTGACTGCCTTTGTTGTGAAAAAGGTTTTCCAATTGACTCAAAGCCCTGTAAGTATCCAGCTGAACAATTTCCACATAGAAACAAAACTTGCAATTACCAGAAGTTTAATCAGCATTTATTTACAGTGTTGATGCTCTTGTGGATATGTCCTCTGTCTTGTCTCCATAACAAAAAAGGGTATTTGAAGTGCAAGCTATTTTGAAATATCAGCTCCCTAATTCCAACCTCCCCAATATAACTTGGTGAAACAAATAACCATTGTTTTCTGAAACAGCAGTGCTGCTACCTCAAACTTCAGGAGATCAGGACACAGAATGTCTCTGTTCAAATAATAGAAGAGTATGAGCACAAGTATCTTAGTGTAGTGGTTCCATTTTCAGAATTGAAGTGACTTGATGGTTCTCACATTATACTTCCCACAGGCTTCAGAGTATGGAATTATTCATGAGCTTCCTATAACATTAAGACTAAAGTCGTAAACATGAACTAGCATCACATTCCTTAAACAGTCAGTATTTTTAATTGGGCATGCTAGATTACACATCAGCACCTATTCTCACTTCAATAGAACAGCTTAATTTTACCAGCAGCACCAGTTGCCAATTTACTTACAGCATATTTTAAAGCTAGGAAAATCCTCCGTAGGCATAGTTGAAAGTGCAATACTTACTTTTTGAGTTTTTCTTATAGTTGGTGTCATATCTTTGAAATAATCAGGTTCCATTTGTTCCAAAGGATTTTGCTGAGCCGCTACATTGCCATTGCCACCTTCAATCTTCACACTGGTAGGTGCGTCTTCATCCCATGAAGACCAGTCTTCTACTTCAGGCTGAATAGAAGTATATAGTACAAGTTAATATAAAAAGACAAGTTTTTACTTGCAGAAAATATGTTGCTAAGGTATATACTTAATATTATACTGCATATATAATAATATTATATCTTTCTAAGATATATACCAAGACTGTTGTAGGACTGGTATAATTACTCTGTTAAGTGATTATCTATTAAGTCACCTACCACTTAAGCAATTACCTGTTTAGGAACAGATGAATAATCCACTGTGGTTGGTAAAGTTATTTGGTCTCCACTTAACTTTCGCCCTCTTCCAGACCTGAAAGAAAAATGTAGGATTCCTCCAAGCTCTGAAAACATGAGCACTAAGTTTAAAAAAAACAAAAAGGAAGTCTGAGAACAGCACTACTGAAAACAGCCATGGCTAAAACATTAAGTGCTTAAGCTACCTTAGTATTAACTACTGCCAGTAAAAGTCTCCTAAACAAAGGAATTTCATCATTAATTTAAAGCGGTGTTCACAAGAATTTCGACATGTAATTTACTTTTCAAATTGCAGTGGAAATAGAGGAGAAGCAACTCTAAGAAATATGAAAATGGACAAATTAACTCAGTTATTTGCATAGTCAATTTTTAGATTGTCAGTGCTTATGAAGCAAACATGATTGATATATATTTGTTCAAAGACAACTATTTCTACTGTAAACAGAAGTCTTTTTACTTGTCTTAGATGTTAAGCTGCGTCTACCAAATTGCCTTCTGAGCTGCTTGATTTGAAAGCCACTCTAAAGCACTTTTTCCTTCAAAGTCTAAACAGAGGTAGTACAAGATTATGCAAGTCAACAGTTTCTGTTCAATACATGCTTCTACTTACTTGAAGAATGCTGTTTCAATGAAAGCATTTCAGCAACCATATAAAATAATTTTAACTGAAAACACACACTAATGCATCACAAATAAACCTTATTTAATAAGAGCATCCAAAGATCACAGTAACAGTTAAAATATTTGTAGCTGACATTCACTATATTTTAAAACCTTACAACACTAGAGAATGAAATTCAGGCTCTCACACATGTTTTTCCCAAGGAGCGTAAGCTCCTATAGCAAGACAGTCATGTAATTGACCTTATGCTGCTTGGGAAAGTTAAGTTCCATTTACTACTACTGACGAGAATAAAACTGGGAAACTGCAATTTCGAGTTCGCATCCCTTAGTTTTACTGTTATAAAACATTCTGTCATCAACTCAGAATAGCTGAATTGCCTGTAATACCACCTCTGCTGCATGCTGGTGAGTGATTGGATATATCTTTCCCACTTTAAGCCAAATAGATTCTTCTTTAGGAACAATCAGGTCCTATTATCAAATTTCAAGCTTTATATAATTAACTCAAGCCCCTTTAGAAACTGTTCCTTTTAGCTGAAAAGCAACACAGGTTAGGGGTAAAGGAAGGTGAAAACACTGTTCCCTCAAACACGTTAGAGACTTCTGGTTTTGACTGACTAGATTTAGTTCATGTCTCTAGAGGAAACCCAAGCTTGGAAACATCCTCCTTCAGACCTGTACAACATACATATCTTTAATACTATTCTAAGCCATCACTTCTGCAATTATATATATTTCCCTATCTATACGCTTGAGAAGACTCCACAAGTGGCTTATAACAGATACTCATTGAGCCAAAATGACTACACTGACAAGGATGAATGCAGGAGGAAACAGCTTCTATCATACAACATGGAAAAGTATATGCTAGACAGGGCAGCACTGAGGAAGGCTACATATCTACACTTCTACGAAGGGAACAAGATACTTATAGGAACAATTGCTTCACCACCATCATTAGACAGATACCGATCACTGCTCTCAATGCCAAATGCTTCAAGAATTCTTGGTTTTGTTTCTCCTTACTAATTAGCAGCATCCAGATTTCTCCGCTGGAGAATGTAACTAGAGATTTTAAACAGAATGAAGTTTCATCTCTTTTTATACTTATACCTTTTCTTTCCTGGAAACAGCGGATTCAGGTAGGCTGTTGTTTATCAACAAAAGTTTTAACTAAAGAGATGACATATTATATGTAGGCTTTACGCTGACTAGAAAGATGCGCGATCTCTACAGGCACTTATTTAAAATGAAAAAAATAATGTAAACTATATAATCTAAAGTACTAGCTCATATCCATTGAATTAAAATGCACATTTAATTAAATCACATTTGCTGGTTATCAGGCATACTTATATGCAGTGCTGCATTACAGGAAAACAAAATTTATCAAGCTATGCTTTGCAGCTGACGTTAAACAGGAGAAACATCTGTAGTTAATGGACTGAACTAATTTGATCCACTGATTGGTTTACGTGAAAGATTTTAAATTTTCATTCTTTTAACTAATTGTTATTCACAGAAGAAAAGTTCTCCTACTTTTTACTCCCAAGCAGTTCCTCAGCTGTTCAAGGATTTAGTTCATTCAAAAGTTGAAAACCAGAGGAAAATACTGTCATTACACCTACTAAGCAATTATCTGCTTATAAAAGCTATCTTAACACTTAGAGACATGAAGGGTCCACATAATATAGAATCTATCATCAGCTCAGTGTTTTGGCTTCTTTTAGAACTTGAACAGCAGGTATTCTTAATTTAATTTGGGATTCAAATCACAGAAGTAAAGGTTGACATCTATATCACTGTATGCAGCATTAAAATGTATCTTTTTAAAGCTTCCACTAGATCCGTAGTGAATTTACCAACCAGTTGAGAGCTTCCTCTTATGCTTGGAATAGGTAGATGAATGTGAAATAAACAGTTATTTTCTGTCTACCACATATTCTACATATACTTTAACCTCACTGGCAAAGTAGTAGTCATTGTACACAAAAGGAGAATATATTTCTCTAGATTGCTATTTGTTTATGTAAAATAACATTCTGCAAGAGTGGCAAGAAGCAACAGTAGTTCACATGACAGCACAGTGCTAAGATCTACCTTAGGTACTCTGCTCCTATACTACTGAACTCTAATATACAATATTAACTTGAGGGTTTTTTGAATACTTCTAGGTACTACACTGCAGTATTCATGAGCCTACAACTCAAAAGAACACTAAGTATGACTTACAAGAGTAAGCAAAAACTAAGTCATGTTCATCGAAAAAAAAAAAAGCAGTTCCCTTCAACTTTAATCACCATCCTCTAAACTTTTGAAAGCATCTTCAATAGGCAGAAGAATATGAAGTCTCAGGCAACTGTTTCTTCACAAAGCAGGTTGGGAGTCACATTTATAGTGAAAGATTACTGAGTGATGACTGGGTGGATGCTGCTGTGAACTGAATCTCTTAAAAAACAAAATATCACTTGCCAAGTACTTCTAGAAAATGTGGAGAACAATTTTTCTTCAAGTTTGATGCAGAATACTTTTAAAAGGCAATTTTAAAAGCCTGTCATAGCTGTTTAGAAAACACTTCTCATTAGAGCTATCATATCACAAAATACACTCTCAACTTTTGAGCTGTGAAGGAACACGCAGATTAAAGAATTAATTTGACTTAGTTTTTATGTCTTGATTGTTTTCCAATTAGTAAAATCAGAAATGTTGAGTGACAGGTGAGTGCTGGGAAAGGAAAGAAGTGCAAGAACCACAAGAACCTGTAATTGACAAAGAAAAGGTAACCAAATTAAATAAGACACATTTACCTGCATATTAACTTTTTAATGAAAGAAAGCACTGCTGCCAGGCAAGTACAGATTTTAAAGAGTCGAAACTGTGTTATGGCCATGGTGAGAAACCCTTCCTGCAAAAGAAAAAAGTTAGATGTAGAGGATTATACATCTTCCCATAGTTCTTAAAGTCAATTTCCTTAGTTGCTGATAAGCAAGGAGCATTCTGTGAAACTATATTAATGCAAGCAAAGAGAGGTGGTACCTGGAGCAAAGATGCTACCTGCCTACTAGCAGGACATTTCACTGACATATATAATAGAAGTAGCTAATGTATATGGTTTTTAAAGAAACAGAATATAATCATAGGTAAAGTCACAGTTAAAGATACTTTTAAAGGGGAAGTGCTGGCAATCAAGTGCAGTGGCTGTACAGCTGATCCGTTTTAGACCCTAGCAATAGCACTGAACAGCAGCAATGCAAAGAGAACAAAATAACCATCAGTAAGAAGCACACACTTGCTTAAGCAAGTCTTGCATATACAAATTATAAAGGTAGTCATTAAGTCAAAGCCCCAAATCGGCCGTTTAAATTTAGTTTCCATTTTAATGGAAACATATGATGAGAACAAACATTGTTTATTTTGGAACCAGCATCACTGAAAAATCATCAGCAAAGAAAGACTCTGTTCATGCTGTGTGCACTATAGCATCAGTTAACCCCTAGGTCTATCAATATTCCTATGCCAGACTGGATCATGCTAGCAAACATAGCCAAGAAAAAAATTTGTCTTTGGCTGAAGCCACTTATGTTGGCAGCTATTTTTTAGCATCAATTGATAATCCAGATAATTTATACTCAGTATATCACATTATTCCAACAGATCCCCTCACATAGGTACAGACTGAGTCAGAATAATCTGCTGTAATTCAATGATCTCTTTTCTCTCTTCTACAGGTGAAGATTTCAGAGTAAAGAATAAGAGGTTAGGCTTCACAAATAGCTTTTCATTATATACATCTACACTTGTAACAATATTTTCTGTTGCAAGTTTAACATACCTCCTGGTGAGAAGAGAAGGCAGCCCTGTGACATTTTCCTCAGGCCATGAGTATTCCATGGAAGGACAGCTTGATTTCAAATATGCTATGGCATTTAAATCACCTTTTATATTCCAGGCTTTAAGTTAGGAAGAGTCAGGAAGGTGGATCATTAGGTAGGCTGCTCCAATACTGCCCTGAGGATTTTATTAAAAAGTACATAATGGGATTTGTGAGCTTCATGGAGCTTAGATTTTTTTGATTGGTGCTCATTTGCTAGATAATGTAACTAGTATTAAACACTGTAGTAATATAGTACTGGAAATACTGCTTCACATACAGGCCCTTTTACTGTAAAATGGAAGGCTTAAGTCAGTAAAGTAACCACCAAATTACAGACCGCACTACTAAGCTGTAGCTCAGGAGAACGGCCTCATAGGACACATTTCACTTCTACTTCAATACTCTACTTCAATACTAGCATTGACCTAATCTCATTTCACGGGAGACAAAAATGTATATAACCTTATACAAGAGCGGGCATTAAATTGGCTCTGCATCTAACGGGAACAGGAAACCATCAAACTTCCCACAAAGAAGCAAGAATGGTAGACACCATCCAACACATTTAGCTTTTAGTTTTAAAGCTAGGACTATCATTTTATATTGTGCTCAAGCACTTCCTTACCTTCTGGAATAGGTACTTTTGACAATATCTAGGTGACAGGAGAATGCATCAGTCAAGAATGTGAACGATTCAGAAATAGTGGAGGTTAGTGAAAAAAACAGTGGATAGTAACTAGATGGACAGTTCTCTATTTTAAAGGTAAAAATTAATGCAAATTAACGCTGAATTGGTGAAAGAAATTGTTACTTTTAAAAGAGGCAGCTAGAAGTCATCTACCTGTAATATGAAGTATTATATGAATATGAAGAGCAGGTGACCTGCTAAAATGAGAATAAAGGTACATCTTTTCTGAAAGGAAGCTTGTTTAGAAGCTGTCTCCACTCTATCAGAATTCACTCATCTATCAGCTTGGAGGCCAGGAGTAGCAAAGTACTCTATGTTAGAAAAAGTAAAGCCATTTTCCCCACTGTTCAGCCTACCTAACTGCCACACTGGACAGTCCAGGCAGATCCTAAATTAAAAAAAAAAAACAAACTATTGCTTGAAAAGGTTGTTTTAGGAAGCAACCATTACACAAAAACGTCTGCAGACTCAGTATTATTTGTGCAGAAGTTCAAAGGACTGGTAAGTTTACTACCTGAAGGCAAAACTAACACCAAAACAACTTTCAAGCATGTCAGTTACATGTATGTGTACATATATATAACCCCATTTTTTCAACTCATCTCCATTTTTTTGTATGTCAAATCGCATACTGTATTGACTTCTCAATATAAATTTGAACAACTAAAAAACCAGAATCCATAAGAAGTCTGACTTGCAACCTTGTGAAGTCTGCTGCTGACAAGAGTTAGCCACCAGAAGTTAATCCATTTTTCCCAGGTCATTCCTATACATGAGTGACTACACTTCCAATACCACCAGTATGCCTGTTTGGCAGGGTTCAATAGCTATCGTCATTCCCCCTAACAATCAGATAACTTGTCCCTCTCCACTTTCTCTGTGTCATGTAAAAATTTCAGAGTTATGATGACAGAGAGAGACAGACAGATACACACACAGTTGCATAACGCATTTGTGGTAGAGCTGCATTTCACTTCAACTGTGGCAGTGCTAGGCCCTTCAAGACAGCAAGTACTGTTTTGCCTGCCTCTTCTCTGAGCTTTGACTGTAGTCTTCCCAATTAAGTTAAGCTCTGTACACTACAGACTGTCAGATGCACAACCAGACTTTTGGCAACAATTTGCTACTAGCTAGCCATAGTAATATTAGCAATCATCCACCTTTAAAAAGTACTTTTATCAATGTATCTAGTTTTTATACTGCTAATTGAGATATGAAGCAGTATATTTGTATTAATTATAGCAATATGCTAAAAGCTGTTTAAAATAGCACCTTGAACCAATTATTGGCTCAAGATTAGGACAAGTCAAGCATTCTCCCCAGTGTCTGAAACAGTACTTGAAGCATTTGCATTACTTCAAGTACTATTCAAAAAGAAAAGTTAAAGGTAAGCTAAAGGTTTTGAGTTTTGTTTGGTGCCTTTTGGGTAGCGTTTTGTGTTTGTTTGTTTTTGGGGGTTTTAAGTTAATTCATTTTCTCAAAGGTAAATAATTTTATATTCTGAAGCAGTTGCATGAATACATGGAACCTTAATATTTCCCGAGTTCACTGCAAACTTAATTCACTTGATACCATTACACTAAACTTGTTAAGTGAAACAAAGCGTTCATTCTTTTCTTGTCCATCCTTCTCAAACACTGGAAAGAAGCCCAGCCATGTATCTTCCTTATCTGATCAATGGGAACAAATACCAAACAGTGTAATGCTAAATGGCAGGGCCACAACCCTCTTTCTTCCTTTTCTTCTCTTAAGCCTTTCCTTGATAATCAATCCCAAAAGGAATTATATCAGCAGCCAACTATGATGCAGGACAGCAGAGAGACATAATACAAAGTGACAGTGCTCCAGCCAAAATCCCAGAACATTTCTTAACAGATGGAGGCAAAGGTGAAACACTGGACTGGAATTCAGAAAATCTTATAGAGTTGTCTGTCAGCCTGATACAGCCTTGTGCATATCATACCTCAGGCCTCAGCTTCCCATTTGTAAAATGGGATAGAGCTTTCCTTCTCCCATTATTGAGATTGCTTCTAATGTATTACATTTATTACACTTACTGTCGACTGAACTTTTAAGTTACATTACAACAGATATAAATAAGCTAATAAGTCAGGACATAAATCCTAATTAATTTAATTCTCGCATTCGATGCAACAATTTTGTAACAGACACCAAATTTAGAAGGCAGTATGAACTACGCAAGTCAAACTCCAGCTATCGGTAAAAAGTCACAGCAGTTGCTCACATGGAAGGTCAGCAAAGAAAGGATTAAAGCATGGGAGCAGCAAGATGTTAAACACGTTAGAGCCAAGTCAGAAGAAGGAGGTAACTTATCCCTGAAAACATTTTATGGATCCATAGAAGAAATATAGTGAAGGGAGGGAAAGTTCAGAAGTTTACTGAACTGAAACATTTTTACACTGCTTTCAGCTTGCAGCAGTGGCCTTGTTAGAACTCCTGGCACCTCTGACTTCACTGACACTAGCCAGCAAGTCATTCACGGCACACACAGTCCAGCTGAGTTACTCAACTATGGTGCAATACGCAAGACTCTCACTGGCCATCACTGTACAATGAACATGTTGTCATCTGGAGAAGCACGTCCCCTTTCATACTTAATTGCACACACAAATACCGCTTAAACAATATTTCAAGAGACAGAGCCTATTCTAAAATAAAGTCACTTTGTAGCACTAAAAATGCTTTGGAGACTTGTTTTCTCCTGGTGAGCTCATCTCCTACTGTCAGTGAAAAAGACGTCAAAACACTCATATTCTAAGAGCACCTATCCTGCTCTCCTCTGTTCCTCTACAATGCTGATTGATTTGTACTAAATAGTTGTCTTTAGATATCATCATCTTCAAAATGGAATTTCTGCCTTGAATTACCAGGGCTTTGTGAATTGATTACATTTTATTTCACATCAGCTCATCTGTGACTCTGGAATAAATATATAAATACATCTTGGAAACGGTGGCTTCAACTTATATTAAACACAGCTAGCTAAGTAGCCAAAGGATGCCACCTAAATCAATACTAAAAATAAGTTGTCTGAAACTGAAAGGTTCCCCACTGACTACACGACCAAGCAAAATGAGAACTCCATTTCCTAGTACAAAAGACTAACATAGCCTTGAGTGCTTACGTGTGGCAGCACCAAAATTCCACAAAAGCACCACTGAACCAGTATGTTTTCACTAGAATTGCTGATAAAAACCTAGCAAGTACCATACAGTTAGTCCAAAGTTTCAGTGGCAAGGACAGGATTTCTTAAAAGTCCATTTTGTATGAAATTTTAAAAAATTAGAGTGACCACATCAATCTGAAGACGCCCAAGTAGG